AGACACCGAACTTCTACAAGGCAAAGTTATCACCACCAAAACTCTACACTAACAACAGCAAACACCATAACACAAGCACACATCAACGATAACAATAGCACACATCAACGATAACACTAGCACACATCAACGAAAACAATAGCACACATCAACGATAACAATAGCACACATCAACGATAACACTAGCACACATCAACGAAAACAATAGCACACATCAACGATAACAATAGCACACATCAACGAAAACAATAGCACACCTCAACGATAACACTAGCACACATCAACGAAAACACTAGCACACACAATCAATTACATCAGCACACATCGACGATATCATCAACACACATCACGGATAACACTAGCACAAATCAATGATTTCTCTAGCACACATTAATGATTTTGCTAGCACACACCAATGATTACACCAGCACACATCAACGATATCATCAGCACCTATCAACTATAACATCAGCACAAATCAGCGCTGGTTTAGCACACATCAATAACACTATCACAAATTAGCGCTAGCACTAGCACAAACCGATAACACTAGTACACGTCAATGATTTCAGTAACACACATCAATGATTTCAGTAGCACACATCAATGGTTTCACTAACACACATCAATGATTTCACTAACACATATCAATGATTTCACTAGCACACATCAATGATTTCACTACAATGTTACACATTTCAATTACTACACTAGCACACATCCATATCACTAACACACATCAATTATCACTCTAGCACACATCAATGATTACACTAGCACACATCAATTACTACACTAGCACACATCAATTACTACACTAGCACACATCAATGATTTCACTAGCACATATCAGTTACTATACTAGAACACATCAGTTATCACACTAGCACACATCAATGATAACACTAGCACACATCAATGATTTCACTAGCACACATCAGTTATCACACTAGCACACATCAATGATAACACTAGCACACATCGATTAGTACACTAGCATGCATCAATGATTTCACCAGCACACATCAATAAGCACACTAGCACACATCAATGATTTCACTAGCACACATCAATTATTACACTAGCACACATCAATGATTTCACTAGCACACATCAATGATGTACCCACATCAATGATTTACACACATCAATGATAACACTAGCAACCATCAATGATTTACACACATCAATGATAACACTAGCACACATTAATGATTTCACTAGCACACAACAATTATTACACTAGCACACATTAATGAGTACACTAGCACACATCAATTATTACACTAGCATACATCAATGATTTCACTAGCACACATCTATTATTACACTAGCACACATCAATGCTTTCACTAGCACACATCAATTACTATACTAGCACACATCAATGATTTCATTAGCACACATCTATTATAACACTAGCACACATCAATGATTACATTAGCACACATTAATGATTTCACTAGCACACATCAATTATTACACTAGCACACATCATTTATTACACTAGCACACATCAATTATTATACTAGCACACATCAATTATTACACTAGCATACTTCAATAATTTCACTATCACACATCAATGATAACACTAGCATGCATCAATGATTTCACTAGCACACATCAATAAGCACACTACCACACATCAATGATTACACTAGCACACATCAATGATTTCACTAGCACACAGCATTTACTACATTTGTATACTAGCACACATCAATGATTTCACTAGCACACATTAATTATCACATTAGCACACATCAATTATTACACTAGCACCCATCAATTATTACACTAGCATACATCAATGATTTCACTAGCACACATCAATTATTACACTAGCACATATCAATGATTTACACACATTGATAACACTAGCACACATCAATGATTTACACACATTGATAACACTAGCACACATCAATGATTTACACACATTGATAACACTAGCACACGATCAATTATTACACTAGCACATATCAATAATTTACACACATTGATAACACAAGCACACATCAATTATTACACTAGCACACATCAATGATTTACACACATTGATAACACTAGCACACATCAATGATTTACACACATTGATAACACTAGCACACACTTACGATACAATCAGTGCAATCAAATATAATACCAGCACACAGCAACGATAGCACTACCACAATTCAGCGGTAACAAAAGCACACATCGATAACACAAGCATACATCAATGATCATACTTGCACACATTAACGATAAGAACAGCACTCGTCAAGCATTAATACAAATCTGTTACCTAAGCGAGATCGGGTTATATCAGTCGAGGGTTAAGATTCTATAACAAAATCCCAACCGAGTCGTAAGCCGAGGTTGGGATGTTACAGAAGCTTAGCACCTTTTAGTTAAAAAAACACTATTCAATTTTGCTAAAGACTACAACTATCCCGTCTGAGGCCTCAAATGAAAATGGCATCTACACTACTAAATGTACATTTGAATGCTTCCGCGTTAAAATGAAGTCCAACCATACAAAGAAGACAACGTACACAGTGAATATTTCAATTTATCTACGACATCAGTTTAAGGACGTGCCAGGTTTTAGTGGTGGAGGAAAACCGGAGTTACCGGAGAAAAGCCACCGACCTACGGCCAGTACCTGGCGACTGCCCTACGTAGGCCTCGAACCAGCAACCCAGTGGCGGAGGGCTAGTGCTAGCAGAATGTCAGATGCCTTAACCACTTGGCCATCGCGGACCCTCACTACGACATCAGACAACGAATAACATCAAAACAAAATATATAACGACAAAAGAGAATATTTAATTTATAGATTTCAATTTCAAGCCGATAAAGTGCGGATGAATACACAGAAGTGTAACATATCAGCGAAATGACAACAGATCGGACGAGATAGAAAACTCTAGCATGGGGTCTGACGTGGGATGTATCTGTCTGGGATGCGAGAAAACACTTGCACACATAACATTAGGACCTTTCAACGATAGCAATCGCACACATCAACGATAGCAATCGCACACATCAACAATAGCACTTGTACACATCGATAACACTAGTACACTTCAACGATAGCAATCGCTCACGTTCACGTATCTACATATATCAAAGGCATCATAAACATGCATCAATGGGACCACGCGCACATATCAACGGTAAAACAATAAGAGCTGAAAGCAGTTATTGTTATTTGTGGCCAGGTATTTTGCTATTCACCTTCCTTATAAAAAATATTTCCCTTAGTTTGAACTGATTTTCAAACTCACAAGAGAACAACCTGATTGAGGATTTTTAATCTGAAAAACCTGGATCAATATATCGATAGATACATTTACTAACTACTATACTACAAGAGGCAATGCTTAGATTGCTTGGTGGTACTTAACGATTCGCTTCCTGTTGTAACCAAGTCCGGACAAAAACACGTTTCACACTACATGTTATATCAAAATATTCTTTCGAATCGGATGGGCAATCGCTCCAACCGTTTATTGGCTAAATAATTAAAATTTGTTAAGAAACATCTTATCGTATGTGACGTCAACCATTCTAAAAATAACTTAATTTACCTAAACCGGATATAGATACTTCCGTGTCAGTTTAAACATGTCTGTGATTTATCTGACAACGTTATACCACATAAAAAGGGAAGACAACATAAACGCGTGTATCAATAAATTCCATTTACCACTGATGACCCAAAGAGAGTGTCTGTGGGCGGGAAAGACGCGAGAGAGAGAGGTGTGCGAACGCGCCCATTCATGTCCGCGCGCGAACTGTGAACCTAATTGGAGCGACAATAACATGTTAGCATGTGTAGAGCAGTACGTTTGAAGGGGATCATTGATATGTCCAGGTTAATAGACTCCTACGGAGTGATCGGTGCACCCTCATAGCTCCCTACCTAGGGAGTGACCCGGTAGCGATGACCATCAATCGATGACCTCCAACTAAGTTGAGGTCAGTGAAATACGCTAATAGGTTCTTGAACCCCACGTGACCTGGTGTAAACTCTGACCAGATCAAACGTGGATATCTACACGCTTCATTGTCATGCCAGAGTGCAGAAAGGAGAAACAATGTGCCAACATACCGTCGTACAGGTCCGCCACATCGGATCTGAAATCTGTCCTTGGAGAGAGAAGTCCCAAAAGTAAAGTGAAAATATCTGGACAAAAATAGAACACAAGCAGCGACGTTGGTGCTATGACAGAAATAACTGATTTTAATCCGAAATCTCAATAAAACCTCGTCAGTTAGGTTGTACTTGTCTGTGTCCAATATGACACGTCAGTCCCGTGATCAGTAGCAGTCTTAGGCTTAAGTGTACATTCTAAACATCGAAAAAATAAATATTTTAGCTTTATAAAATCTGACTTTTGATGAAATAGTCCAATTTTTGAAATTAAATTCATTTCACCACAATTATGAAACAAGTTCTGTCAATTGATATTTATCATGTGTGTTGGCCCAGATGGCCTAACTTGTTATAGTAAATCAACTCGTAAAACAAGTTACCTAATGTCCATTACGTAAGGGACTATCGAAACATGGCGATTGTTTACGTTGATTGTGTTTACACACAGGTCAGTATTCCAGGTTATTGCACTTCAATTAAATATAGATTTGCTGAGCGTATTTAAATTCAAAGCAATCTATTATCTAAAACGTGACTACTTTAGGATTTCCGTGTTACATATTGTCGCATGTAATGCGTCTAAAAATAGAAATTGTTATTTATGTTTTGTGATGAGTGACAACAGGATGTTTAGTACCACCCAATCAAAACAACGCAAGTTATCTTACACTATGTCATTTATTTACGAAAAAAAATGCTTCCCGGTTTTATCTGTAGAGTAGACAACTAATTCGTGTTCATTTGAAACGGCTTTCAACTACATGTTTTATTTAAATCCATCTGGAGTCCGGGACGGAATCAGGTAAATACAGAACATGATACTCATCCTTACAAGTTATTTCACTACCAAACACTTAAAGGAAAAGTAATGGAACACGAACACGTGAACTCATTTAGTGTAAAAGGGATTTTTGATTAGTTGAGCATTCGACACTCCACTGCATTAAGCTGACAACATTCACTGTTTGGAATGGCGAGCCTGCAATGCAGCTTTTTAACTGTCACATTTAAGACAATACTTACTGAGCATGCAACATCCGTTGTCCAATATTCCTTTTTATCAGTCAAACCAATTGTTACAAGTTGCCAAGAAAATATACAGAGGCAAAGCAACTGTACAGACTTTGCATGTGGCCTCCATTTTAGGTAAGTAATGTAAATAATTTATTTCGAGCAGTCTGTACTTGTGACGATGTATTTCTGTACATACATATGTATTAAGCACTTAAATACACGGTTTTTTTGAGTGAGTGTATAGAAAATATTTGAAAAGCTAAAGCGATTCATCATGGCTTGGGTCGCTGATCATGATATCTGAATAGTTTGAGATTCTGAATTATCTAGGTTTCATTTCTGTGTTACTTGTAGTGTGTACATAGTGGGCATATAACTAACATTTTGAAAGAGTATAGACACTTACATTTATCAATGTGCTTCAGGATATATCAAATACTTATAACGCATGTAGAAAAAAACTAATATGGTAGCCATATTCTTAGTCTAGGGAATTTACGTTTACAGTTTACAAGATGTACGTCCACTAGCTATATATGTAGACTACGAGGGAAGGGTGGTCATTCTGCCCATGTGCTAGCGACCGGTAATTAACAAGTGGGGGCGATGTCCCTTTGGTTAATCACGCTCCTGGCGGGACACAGCTGAGCAGCGGTCAGCCCCTAACGCTTCCCCAGATATCGTCACTGCGCCGATAAGATAAGGTGGACATTACATTAAATTTCAAAAGATTTATCATAATGGTCATAATTAGTACTGGTATGAGATGACCGTGGGATGTTTTCATACAAAATGAAGTGTTTATCATAACATGTAACCACGGTCAAGTTTATAAATAGGAATTTATAATAAAAAACAAATGAGACAAGTCGACAAGTCTTAAGTACCAAACTTTGTAAGGAAAGATGTATTTTTAATGGGAAACCGTTACTCCATGTATATACCGCCTTTAAATTGAAACTCTAGTATATTGGCGGGCAATGCTGCAGCTGACTGTGAACAGGAAGCCGCAAAGAATAGCAATGAACGCACTGGAGATTTCAAGCTACCCGGTGTGCACGCTATATTTATATCCCAGCTACATAACATGTCTTCATCGTTTCTTTTCCCCCTTTTTAACAACCGGCTGAAGATCGGCGTCGAAAGGTAAAAGAGGACCTCTAAAAGTAAGACTTTAGCCCTATGTATTGCAGTCTTACAGTGAAACTTAAATATCAAAATCTGAACTACATGTGTATAATTAAAAAACAAATATTGTTTTTTTTATAACTATTGATAGATTTAAAGTCCTATCGGTACACACTCAATACATCGAGGTATATACTGTTAATACATCAGTTTTCGCCAAGCTGAAGGTGGACACCTCCTGTTTAGAACATCGATGTTCAACAAATGTTCTTTTATAGTAGTACCCAGTTCATTCAGAGAAAATATTGTTTCATATTTAACTAAATATTCCTCATATTTCTTTCATTATATACAGACGAAAAGATAAGTCGATATTATAGCTAGAGTATTTTTGTAAATTCTTAATGCTCAAACAGCCTACATAACATGCAACATATGCCCCCCTGGAATATTTTTCTGGGTCATAAATTTCTGTTTGCTTTCATTCTGGTACCACGTAACATTGTATAATTTGTGGATATTTTATGTGGCGTATCTCCTAGCCATGATACCGATAATTTTATGTGACTTTTACAATAAATTGATTGCACTCGCCAGCAGCTGAGGAAACTTAACTCGAGTGGAGACGCTTGTTGCTTGCATAGTTCCTGCATAGCGCTACACACCTATTATGCGTTTTGCCGGTGCATAAGCGACAGTTGTTCTACAGGTATCCATGTTACCAATACCTCACCTGCACACAGACTCACGTGCATTCCACACGTGACTCAAACCTATGCATTTCTTACTAGAATCAGGTACATGGCATTTCAGCACATTTTCATTTACGAGCATGTATAGCCACAGAGGACTAGCATGACCTTTATTTAACTCAAAATGCTGACACAGGAAAGGGAAACTGTTATGTATTTTGAAGTTGATCAAAACATCAATATTTACAATACATTTCACCAACATAAACCGCATATTCCGTGTATGAAACCCGTTCATACAATGGTGCAGATAGTGCAGCCTATTAGCTAGTTATAAATCCACTGTAATCGGTAACGTTATATTGGGTTTTTTTCGTATTCAACATGATGTGTATTTAGCTGAACATAACACAATCACAATATATATCTCCAGCATAATTGCATACGACTTCGCTGTTCTAACCTTATCCTTTTTGGCAAAACAACCATTGGCTATAATCTTTATTTCAATTTTAGAATATTTACGACACACGCCAGCCAATCTGCCATCTCCCTGACCTAGTCCCGGCCCTTCCTGTCAAACCTGAGGCGCTATGTCATAACAACTGAAGGAGTTGAGTTCCCCCTCCGAAATTACCACACACAATACTGTTAGCCTTTGTCAACAACTTTATATCAAAAGTATAGAAGGCGTTTTTATATCAAATTTCTCCTTTTACTACAAGCAGTTTCTGTTATAAATATCTAAAGGGTTTTCGAATATTAGGTCGCTTTTTCGTTTCTTATTAATGAACGTCAGGAACTAAGGTGTTATGGCTAAAAAAAAAAGAGTCCTTCACCGAAAATAACTGCGTTTTATGAATCGAATTAATATGGCATTTTTTTAGTTGTGAAATACAGCTAATTTTATCAAATGTGATGCACGAACTATTTTGTATATTTATTAACGAGAATTCAATAAATTGAAATTGAAGTTAAACGATTGTCATACATTTTGTTTTATGTTTATCAATCTGACCACTTCTTACGTACGTATTGTTCCTAGTCTCCTTACATCATGTATTGATGGTAATAATGTTACAAAAACATATCTTACCTTTGCACGAATCTTATCAAAAGCAATACGTTGATATGTTCAGAGAAACATTAGGTGATATGTATTGTTGTTGGTGTTGTTTTCTTGTCTTCAAAATGATGAACATTCCCTTGATGTATTTATTTAATTGTTTTGCGTCATCACTTACAAATCAACTACATGTATATCATTGTCCTGTAGAGTACTGCTTCTGTGACAAAATTATTAGAAAACTTGTATTGTAATGATTTAGAGAGATAGCCACAGATTTCTGACACGGAATGATTCAACAAGATATTAACCGAACTCATCTCTCGAGGCAGAGTTAACTAATCTCCTCCCGATGCTCAATGTTATAATTATCCTGTAGTACATGTACATGTAATTCCCCAAACGTTAACAAGAACTGTAGAAATGTTCAGAAACACACAAACAACGTATCTGTTCTAGAATTTTCAGTTATAGTTACTGAAAAACTGAGAGAGCGAGTGCGTGTGCCCTACATGTTCGAACAAGTTTGGAATGCCGTTGTGCACCGGAAGTTGTCTGAGGCACACGTGTGATGTGAAGGGGAACCCCCCCACGAACTTTTCTCTATACACTTACTGTCATGGCGACTAGTTAAAGTATCGCATTTCATCACCACAGCAACACGATTTACGTCTGTTGCTACTATTGTTGGATATGACGAAATCTCAGACATCAGTTCTATTCTTAGGAAACATTTTAAGTGATTTCCAATTCAGACGAAACAACGGTAGGTACGAAGTCAGACGATAAATAACTGGAGTCTGATTGTCACCTATCTCATCGGAAGTTAAAGGATTTAATACACCTTCCTAGTCGTAAGTATCTTGTTTTAAATATTACATATCAACACCAATATTTATGTATACTTATAACATCACTAACATTAATGTACTCAGCTTCATGTTATCAACCCGTATGTACGTATCTTATAGTGCCAGGTATACATATCATCAGCTGATTCGTACTTCTGACGTGCAAAGTGTATTTATAGACTAATGTGACAGTTGTAAACGCATGGGGCGGTGCTTCACACGGTACATCAGCACTTCCCAGAGAAGTGGTACGGGCCAGGTATAACATGGGTACTTTGACAGTATACCCCTGAAACGACAGGACAGACGTCTACAACAGAATTTCAAGAACAGTTAAACAGTATACCATCGACAGGACAGACGTCTACGACAGAATTTTTAAGGATAGTTTAACAGTATACCACCAACAGGACAGACGTCTACGACAGAATATCTTGGACAGTTTACCAGTATATCACCGACATGTCAGGAATTTCATGGACAATTTGACGGTATATCACTGTCTGAACAGACATACATGTACGACAGAATGTCATGGACAGTTTGACAGTATACCACCGATAGGACAGACGTGTACGACAGAATGGCATGGACATTTTGACAGTACAGTATAACACTGACTGGACAGACGTCTACGACAAAATATCATGGACATTTTGATAGTATACCACCGACAAGACGTCTGTCCTATCTGACAGGACAGACGCGTACGACAAAATACCATGGACAGTTTGACAGTAGTATACCTCTGACAGGACAGACGTGTACGAAAAAATACCATGGACAGTTTGACAGTAGTATACCTCTCACAGGACAGACGTGTATGACAAAATACCATGGGCAGTTTGACAGTAGTATACCACTGACAGGACAGACGTGTACGACAAAATGTCATGGACAGTTTGACAGTATACCACTGATAGGACAGAGGTGTACAACAAAATGTCATGGACAGTTTGACAGTAGTATACCTATGACAGGACAGACGTGTACGACAAAATACCAGGGACAGTTTGACAGTATACCTCTGATAGGACAGAGGTGTACGACAAAATGTCATGGACAGTTTGACAGTAGTATACAGCTGACAGGACAGACGTGTACGACAAAATGTCATGGACAGTTTGACAGTCGTATGCCTCTGACAGGACAGACGTGTACGACAAAATACCAGGGACAGGTTGACAGTATACCACAGATAGGACAGACGTGTACGACAAAATACCATGGGCAGTTTGACAGTAGTATACCACTGACAGGACAGACGTCTACGACAAAATGTCATGGACAGTTTGACAGTAGTATACCTCTGACAGGAGAGACATGTACGACAAAATGTCATGGATAGTTTGACAGTATACCTCTGACAGGACAGACGTGTACGACAAAATACCA